TAAATAAATAAATAAATAAAGTTGGGCACTGTGGCGCCCTCCTTTAATCCCAGCACTTGGGAGGCAGAGGCAAGCAGATCTCTGTGAATTCAAGGCCAGCCTGGTCTACACAGTGAACTCCAGGACAGCTGGAGCTACAGGGAGACCCTGTCTCAAAAAGACCCAAAACAAAAAGACGGAAATCAAAACCCCTTAATTTTTTTTTGCTTCACTTCTGAATGTTTTTAAACAAGTAGGTGGTTAGAATCTATGGCTTGATTATAAATAAACCGTATTATTATTATGTTATCATGTTCAAAATGCATAGTCAAAGTTGAGTAGACTTTTGAACAAACAGAAGTAAATATGGAAGCTTTAACACAAAACATTTATACTGGAATTCAGGAGACTGGCTATGTTTGGGAACATCTTTATGGAAGCCAGATGCATCAGAATCTTCCTGAGGAGATGTAGAAGAGACAGCACAGCATGGTTTTGTGTGGCTTCTGCTTTGCACTGTCTTATTTAGCATGGGTCCTTATATAATTAGTTTGTATTTTCTAATATGTCAGGATTTGCCACATCTATATTTATATTATTATACTTTCAGTTGAAAGAGTTTTGTTGAAAAACCAAAAATCAGGATCATTCTGATTTGAGAAGAGAGGAGGAAAGAAAGGTAATCTGAAGAGAAATACGAATTATGAGCTACTTTAGATGAATATGTACAAACAGAATGTTATTTTAATTGAAGTATAAATTATATTAATGAGACAAGATGAATAAGAAATTATATTCTGCTAACTGTACTGTGATATTTATCACACATGGATCTTTTATCATTGGGTCATTCGCTAGATCCAGAATTTGGAGATAAAGTAAAAGGCATGCATGACTTAAACCTTTCACTTAGAAGGGACTACTGTTTGTATATTGCCCATGAAAACTCACAGAAAAAATCATTATTCTTTTTGTTCAGTAACTCATCTATCTCAGATGATACAAATTCCAGGTCTTTAGGTGCTAACATGAGTCCTGTTATATAATAACGGAACAAACAGCTCTTGCAAATTTTGAGCTGGAGTAGTGATTAGTGTTTTTAAAGATGTGTAAAATGTTCTCTGCAGAATAACCCAAGTAAGTGTTTCCTTGTGTACAGTTATTTATTATGAAGACCACTGAAGTGTATTGAAAATGAGGACCTTGATTATTTGCAAAGATAGATCGCAGCTTGTTTTTGAGATAATCAATTTTTACTTTAACTCGTATTTTTTTAAACTAGTTTTTAATTTAAAGATGGAAGCTAAGCAATGGAAGCATCACTATATTTTTGACATTAAGTGGTACCAATAAAGTATTTTATTACCAAAAGCTTAATGAAAATGTGGCAGATTTCTTTCTATTGTGAAATATCATAAGACAAAAAGGTACACTCTGCAGTTGTGACTTTTAAAGAATAATAAAGTGCTGTCCATTGGAGGTCCAGCACCTGGGAACAGCCCCACGTGCCTGTTCTGACACCCCGTCCTCGCTCTTTCATGGTCCTCACAGGCTGGCTTTTGTGATAATTTTTCCCTTTTCTTAATGGTTTTCCCAACTGTGAGTATCTACAGGTTAATTGTGCCTGATTTTAAATTCGTTTGTTATCATTTCATTATATTTTCTAACTTTACCTAGGTGTTGTGTTTTCAAGGTTCACCCCTGTTAATCTCAAAGTCGATTCATTTTTATTACTGAGTAGTAATACTTTAATGTTTACTCATTTTATTGATAATATTTTTGGCATGTCTAGGTTTCTTGTGTTGTTGATAACTTTGGGTCATTTATAGTTTCTCCTGTTTTACTATGACAGTAGTCTCATGAGCAGGACTGTATATCTTGTAAGCATGTCAGAATCTCTCTAGGACAGTGCCTGCACCATCAGTTGCTTGTATGCTTGAACCTACTATCCAAAGTAGACCACACATCCAGCACTGGATGGAGTTCCCTTGGCAGACTTGGCAGTACTTAACTGTAGCTGTAATTGGCATTTCCTATCTCTTCCCCATTTTTTCTGTTTTGGGAATTCTTCACAAGTTCTGGATAAAATTCTTGGTAAAATATTTACGGATATCTTCTCCCAATATGGCTTATCTTCTTCCATTCGAGTATTTTTTTAAGATCTTACTACATAGCCTCACTGGCTGAAGAACTCACTCTGTAACTACGGTTGACCTTGAACCTCCTCCTACTTGAGCCTCCCCGGTGCTGGGAGGGGAGGTGTGGACCACCATGCCTGCTCTGACAATACTTTTTAGTGAATGAAAATTAACTGTAATGATCTACTAATCTTTTTCCTTTCTGGTTTCTACTTTTTAAGTAAATTTTACTTTTTAGCAGTTTTAACTTCACAGCAAAATTGAGCAGAGAATAGACACTGTCCATATTTTGCAGTTTCTCCTCATCCATGATTTTGCTTCTTGCAGTTTCAGTTACCTATGGGCCAAAAATATTAAATGGAAAATTCCAGAAATAAACAGTTTATAAATTTCAAATTGCGTGCTATTCTTAGTGTAATGAAATCTCACACTATCCTACTCCATCCTGCCTGAGACATGAATCATCCTATTGTTCAGCATACCCATGCTGTATACTATTCATTCAATAGTCGTCTTGCTTATCAGATCAGCTGTCATGATAATGGACATGCCCATGTTCAAGTAGGAAGGTCGGTAGTAGCCCAGCGCTGCCTCACAGTGCTGCTGTCATCTGCTGCACTGTGCCTCATCATGTGGTATTGTACTAGTTCAGATCAGAAGAATGGTAAGTACAATAAGGTATTTTGAGAAAGACCATGTAATTTTTATCATAGTATATATTGTATAGTATTTATTGATAGCCATTGTTAATCTCTTATTTATAAATTAAGTTTCATCATAGGTATGCACCTATAAGAAAACAGGAATTCATGTTGTCCAAGGCTTCAGGTATCAGGAGGTCTCAGAAGTTATCCTCCAAAGAGAGAGACTTCTGGGTAAGCTAGCAGGCTAGAAGCTGCTGAGCCAGTGGAGGAGAAAAGGGAAGGCACACTCCAGTCCAAAGAGAGGAAGAACTTAGGAAATCACAAGGGAAATGAAAAGATACCTGAAAGGTGTACCGAACATGCATGGTGATGCATAGAAGCAATCCGGACACAGCTTCAGCCCCTCGACAGGGAGTGGGAGATCGCTCTTTTCCAAAATGTAAGCCAGAGGCACACAACAGGCATTTCTATGCTTAGGGTGAGTCCGTAGCCCTCTGAAGCCTCAAATTCAGTTACAGGCACTGACAAAACGGCTGTTCTTCCCAGCAGACATGTCAGCAGTCTGAATCCCATTCTGTTGCTTTGTTTGACTAAGAGGGCTGGGTAGCATCTTGAGAGATAACCTATTCTTAAAACGGGGGCCTGAGATCAGGGAACAGACCAGGTCCGGCAGCTATGAAAAGCAGAAGGACCAAACGCAGACAAGCTGATGGGAACGGGCAGCAGGAAGCTCAGCGCAGGCAGGCAGCTACATGGGGAAAGGTAGCTCCACCCAAGAGCAGGTACCGACTGAGAACAACCCTGGAGTCTGACAGTGCTGAGCCTGAGTCCAGCCAGTGAATCAATCTCTGCAGCCACCTGCCTGCCTTCACTGATAAAGAGCCTAAGATCTCTGAGGTTCCAGGGGTGTACTTGATACACCACAGCTGCATTCCTCCAGCCGGGTGATTCATACTCAGGTGTTGAAAGCTTGAAGACGGGTCCTCTGCCTGAACTGATTCATTCTAGTGGTCTGGATGCTGCCCACACTCCCAACCCCCCCCCCTCCAGCTAAAACATTGGTTCCTCCCCCAGGGAACACTGAGGAGTCTCAGGAGGGTGAGAATCTGCACGGTTCACAGGCTGCAAACATAAGTGTGGCCAACAGAGTCCTCTGGTATACAGAGCTGCAAGGTGAAGACCCCACTGGCGGGTACAAGCACTTGACCTGAAGACTCACTTAGCAGTAGCATAAACCAGGAATTCAAGATCATCCTCATCTGCATAGCAAATTTGAGGCCACCCTCTAGAAATAAATGAACAAAGAAATCAGAAAGAGCTCAAATCACCTAACGAAACACTTGAAGGTCTTAGAAAAATAAGAGCAATCCAAATCCAAAAGTACTAGTCAAGAAAATAATGAAGATCAGGGCAGAAATTAATGAAACGAAGACTAAGAATTCAAGATCATCCTCATCTGCATAGCAAATTTGAGGCCACCCTCTAGAAATAAATGAACAAAGAAATCAGAAAGAGCTCAAATCACCTAACGAAACACTTGAAGGTCTTAGAAAAATAAGAGCAATCCAAATCCAAAAGTACTAGTCAAGAAAATAATGAAGATCAGGGCAGAAATTAATGAAACGAAGACTAACCCATCAAAGACCAGAAAGACTCTTAGAACTGATCATCATGTTCAGCAAAGTGGCAGAATATAAAATTTCCAATCAGCATTCAGGAGCTTTTCTATACAGTAAATCTGAGAAACAGCTCGGTTTTTTAAAAATCTCATTTACGATAGCTTAAAAGAAAAAGCTAGGAATAAAGCTAACCAAGGGGTGAAAGACTTCTACAATTAAAACTTTAAGACACTGAAGAAAAATCAAAGAGGACACTAGTAAATGGAAAGACCTCCCATACCCATTGGTGGCAAAACTAATATTTAAACGACTGTATTACCAGCAGTGATGTGCAGATTCAACACAACCCCATCAAAATGTCTGACATTCTTTACAGAATGAGAAAAAACTCCTAAAATTCACGTGGAAGCACAAAAGTCCCCCAAACAGCCAAAGTAATCCTTAGCAGAAAGCAGTTTGAGGGGAGGAGGGAGAGTGGGAGGGAGGGAAGAAGGAAGCTTTAACCACCTATTATTAACAGAAGTATCAAAACCATGAATTGGAGAAGAGATAGCCTCTTTAAGAAATGGTGTGTTGGAAAACTGGATCTCCATACCTGTAGATAGTGAAACTCAAGCTGTGTCTCAGCCTGCGCAAAGACCAGTTTAAAAAACGGGTCAAAGGTCTTAATTTTAGACCTGAAACTAAGATGCTGGAGGGGAACAGGTGAGACACTTCATGACTCTGGCACAGGCCAGGGCTTTCTGAAAAGGACTCCGGTGGCACGGGAAAACACATCCAGAATTACACGGAATCAAACAGCTGTTAAAAAAAAAAAAACTGTCTTTGCCAACTACATGTCATACAAGGAGTTAATATCTAGATTGTATGAAGAGCCACAAAAACACCAAATCATCATCAGTCAGTATTCTATAAATACAAATGGCCAAGAAATACTTAGAAGTGCCCAAAATCCTTGACCATAAAGGAAATGCACATTAAAACTGTTTTGAGTCCTCACCCCAAGGTAATGACTGTCATCAAGAAACCAAATGATGACAAATGCTGGTGAGGAAGGAGGAGCCCTCACTGCTGGTGGAAAATGTAAACTTACGCAGCCATTATGGAAATCAATATGGAGGTTTCTCAAAATTCCAAAAACTGCCCATATGGCCCAGCCATGCCACTCATGGGTATATACCTGAAGGATTCTAAGTCAGAATAATACAGAAACACTTGCACATCCATGTTCATAGCTGCAATGCGCACAATAATTTCCTCTAGTAAGGGGCCTATTTTTCATTCGCAGTAGTATATGTTAATAAGAACTATTATAATGAAGTCCAATTCATCAATTTCTGTCTTTTAGAGTTACTAATTTGAATGTCTAATTTAAGAAATCCTTGCCTACTCCAAAATATCAAAGAAAATTTTATGTTTTCATATTACTGTTGCTTTTCAAATTTACATCTGTGGTCCATCTGGGAAATGATTTTTAAATGTGGATTGTATTAAAAGCTGTCATTCATGAAATTTCTTTTGGTAAAGATCTGCTGACCAAAAACTCCTTTTCTTTCATTTAAAAAAATACATAATTAGCTGGGCGTGCTGGCACATACCTTTAAGTCCAGCAGCGGGGAGCAGAGGTAGGCGAATCTCTGAGATCTAGGCCAGCCTCTGGCCAGCCTGGTCAACGTAGCAACTTCCAAGTCAGCTGGGGGTTACAAGGAGATCCTGACTCAAAATAAAATAAAAAATACATACTTGAAGGGTAGAGAACTTAAGGCTGACAATTATTTTTCTAGCCACATGGACATTATTCCACTGTCTGCTGGTTTCAGTTATTTGTGCTGTGAACTACCAGCACCTGGCCCTCCTTTGACAGTGGTCAGCCTTCTTTTACTCTGGCTCTTTCGGGTCTCTTCATCTTTGATCTATTATCATACTTTTTTAAAATTTTTTTTATTTTTTATTTATATGTATGTGTGTATTGCCTGCATGTAGGTAAATGTACCCATGTCATGCAGTACCCGTGGAGGACAGAAGAGGCTGTCGGATCCCCTGGGACTGGAGTTACAGTTGTCAGCTACCATGTCAGCATTGGGATTCAAACCCGGGTCTTCTGCAAGAACAACCAGTGTTCTTCACTGCTGAGCCATCTCTCCAGCCCCCTATATATCATTTTTTTAATTTTTATTTTTTTAGACACTGTGACCCTGGCTGGCTTAGAACTCACTATGTAGACCAGGCTGGCCTTGAACTCACAGAGATCAGCCTGCCTCTGCTGAGATTAAAGGTGTGCACCACCACGCCGGGCTCGCTCTGTCATTATATAACTGTGATTTCTTTTTCCTGATCCTGCATGAGCTTCTTTGGACTCCTTGGATTGTTGCCTTTTATCAGTTGTGAAAAATTCTCACCTAATATATTTTCAAACATTATCTTTGCCTCATCCCTTCCTTCTATAATTCTGATAATATGTTAAAATTGCTATTGTAGCCGGGCATTTGTGGTGCATGCCTTTAATCCCAGCACTCAGAAGGCAGAGGCAGGCTGATCACCTCCATCTCACTTGAGATGGAGGTGGCCAGCCTGGTCTACAGTGAGTTCCAAGCCAGCTGGGGCTGCAGTGAGACCCTGTCTCAAAAAACAAGCAAACAAACAAAAACCCACTAGGTGGGTTTAGCAGTTCAAACAAAGATAAAAAGTGACTTTAAAAACTAGAACGTAGGAGTTGGAGAGATGGCTCAGCAGTTAAGAACACTGACTGTTCTTGCAGAAGACCCTGGTTTGAATCCCAGCACCCACATGGCAGCTAACAACTGTCTGTAACTCCAGTTCCAGGGGATCTGACAGCCTCTTCTGTCCTCCATGGACATTGTTCGATACGGGTGCACTTACCTACATGCAGGCATAACACTCATACACATAAAATATAATTAAGTATTTTTTAAAAAATTGGAACATAGACTGATTCTTAGGAATGGTGATACTTGAGGGCCATGTTAAATTACATCCTCAGCTTAAGTTTGTTGGACCAGTGTAATTTGTGCTTCAAAACTTTGTAAAGTTCACTGACATGTAGTTATAAACTATCACCAATAAGTCTTGGCCCTGTCCCCATGTAGTGACAATCTTCAAAATAGCAGTTTTTCTTCATTCCCTCGGTTAAAGCAAAGCACTTTATATTTCAGGGTCACTGTTAAGCTGAAGAGTGGCTTTGGGCATTCCAGCTTTATGGGCCAGGGTAACCTAAGCGATATCTCATTTTATCTTCCCAAACACCTGAAAATAGAAACTTAAGAGTCCCTGTCTTCAAGGCAAAAGCTGGCTTCAGGGTTTCTCTGTCCTCTCTGGGTTCCTGCATTCACTTGGATTTGTGATCTTATATAACTTCACTGGTTGTTTTTGGCAAGCTACTACTTCATCTCCCATGGTGCCAGGTGCATAACTTACCTTCTTAGACCCGTCAGAACATTGTTTACTCGACTTTGGCGGATACCCATACTAAGTGTCCTGGATACATTGGGGTTGATGCTTGGGCTTTTTGTTTTTATTTTTTTGCAGTACATTGACTTCTTTTTTGAGAGCAAAGATAAAAATTGTGTTAACATCATCTAAACTGGCCTGTAGATTGCTTATAGAAACTTGTTTTAAATTCTCCCACATGTGTTATATAGTTGTTGGGTTTAACAGTGGCGTGTCCCTTGGTGATGGTGGCATGTCTCTGCACTGACTTCAGGAGTTCCTGTGAGAGGGGGTTTATTACCATCAGCCTTGCTTCATGGTCCTTGAGAGCTACAACTCTGCAGAAGAACTTGTGCTTACCAGGGGGTCACCCATCCTCTGCACCACCCACTGTTCCCACACCCATAAAGATGAACACGACTCCTGTTTCAATCCTGAGAAAACAGGCTCAAAGAGGTGAACAACAGGTCAAGCACTTCTGGCTGGGGACTAGAGACCAGGACTGATCTATATAGTACTTTAAACCCTTTAAACCTCAGCTCCTGGCTCTGCCTGTTGCCTTGCACGGCCTCCCTGAGATGTTCAGTGTACATTTCGTGTGGGTGTAGAAGCTGTGGATATCGATAATCTCTTAAGCATTTTTCTCATGTCTTGATGGATTCCCAGCTAATTGCTGCTCATGGAGAGTTCCAACGTAGATCTGTTCCTGTTCCTGAAATGTATGCAAGGTAAGAAGTGATAGGTGGGCATTACAGAAGCTGTAAGGAGCTGTGCATGCTTGCTGCTCGCTGTACAGCAACAAAGGACTAGTCATGAGGCGGACCCCAACAGCACACTGGGGAGTGGGCAGGTGAGTATAATTGTCACTCAGGAAGAACTCTGGAGGGCCTATGGAATGAACTAAGTATGTGGGAAGCAGGGAGAAGGCATGGATGCACAGCATGTTGGCTGATGTGTGAGAAGTAAGGGCCTCTGGGAGAGGCGAGCTGTAGGGGCAGGCAGGAGTCCACACACACCTTTTCACTGCACAGAGCTTCTCAGATGTGTAGCTCAGGGCTCACCTGGGTTGCCAGAGTTTCTGATCCAGCAAGTCAGGCTGGAGCTGAGAACTCATATTTAATTTTCCAGGGCCGCTATGGCTGCTGGCCAGCCATAATGGCCTAGAACTACCACCCTGGAGAAGGAACCACTCCAGGAGCAGAACGGGAGCATCATTGCTGGTCATGTGACTCGTGGCCAAGAAGCAGACTTAATGATAAGGTGCCCTTCAGTTAAGGCAGGTGAAACTTATTTGACCAGGAAACTAAGAACCCCATCCCACCAGCCACATTTCAGCACTCACTGCCCACATGTCTGTGTCATGGACACAATGGTGCAGCCACCCCATCGCTGCCAAAAGCCTTCTGGTAGGCAGTGTTAGTTTTGGGACACAAGTAGAGTTAGCGCTGGAGGTGCAGGGTGAGGTTTTATAAAAGCCATAGTGAGGCCCTCATCAAGCCTGGGCTATGTTCACAGGGAGGGGGCAGGCTGGAGAAACAGGACTCTGCTTCCCACTCCAGTGCCTGGGTTCTTTTCTGTTGGTTTGCAAGCTCTTGTGTGCCCCTCAGTGCAACTTGCTACAACACAAGATCCTGACTGATCTGCGTGTAGCAGATCGCTTTGCAGGAAGGTGTAGCAGATGCTGCTGTCTCCACTACCTGCAAAACACAGCGCGCCTACAGCACAGGTTCTAACTAGTCCTACAATGAAGGAACCAGTGACATCCCTTGGGAGCTTCCTCTGAGAGGCGGGACTGGAACACCCATCCTGTGCACTCTTTTCTAGTCTCCCATGAGTTACTGGAACAGCCCAATGTTAGAATGTAGTCAAACTGCAGAGAAAAACTTGATGGGTTCCCCAAAAGCCCATACTGGGTCCCTGTAGTCCCCTCATCCTCCGTAGACTCCAGGCTCATCAGTGCACACAGGCAAGGGAGAGGAGCAACATGTTCTTTTATTAATGCACATACATTCAGTCACGCCACAACTGACATCCTGCATTATGGTACAGCTTTATGTTCAGAGATCAGCTCCAAATACCAAAACATCAAATTTGGGGTGTGTATCAAATTGGGGGAATAAAGTAGCAAATGTAGACACTTTTCAAGTGGGTACCAGAACTGGTGACCCTTGAAGTGCACATGGACTGAAGGCTCTTTAACACATATACAGAAAATGTTCTAACATTATATTCCAAATATATATTCTCAAGTTTCCAGCCTTTATCTCAAAGACATAAACAAAGCAATAGGTACTATCAGTATACAATCCGTACTACCTCGAACATCTGAAAAGTGCGAACACACTGTGACAATACAGTGTAACTACTCAGCTCCCCAGGGCTGAGGGTGACCGCCTCACCCTCCTCCCCAAGGTCTGGCTGGCCATCTCCAGGCTATCCCCAGGAGCTCTGGGAATGGGACCAACCAGTCTATACTGGGCTTCTTGACTGGCCGCTCCCACTGAAGCCAAACGTGAAGAGGGCAGTCTGTGGAGGATACCTCCAGCTTTCTGAGGAAGAGAGCCATCCCACCCATGGTCTGTAAGGCCCAGGGTTCACGCCAGGAAGTCAGACATGGAAGATGGAGCATACTCCTCTGTTTGGATTAGAAAAATACCTCTCTGTGTTGGACAGATTGATCTGGAAGAGCTCCAGCGCTGGTGGCTGCCTGGCTAATTTTCTAATTCAGATTACCCGGGGGGGGAGGGGGGGCTCCTACCAGAAGGAAGGGATGCCATCGGCAACACATCCATTCTGCTTTCTCTTCCCTTTGTGTGCCAGTTTCAAATCAACTTTGTAGCTCTGTGTCTTAGTTATAGCCCAGAAAATTGACAGTGCCACACTGCCCTCCCCATATTATCTTAGATTTTTTTTTCTCTTCTAAAACACAATTGAAGAACAGTTTGCCAAACATATTCTCATAGAAAATATGTTGTCGGGCATCCCCCTACCCCCCGCCCCCCAAACCCATAAATCCCTGATAAAGGAAAATGAAAATGTAAACTTTGGAAAGCCCGCATGGAAAGGTTCCCTTCCAGAGGTGTGTACACCAGCCCTCCTGGCCACTCCAGCCTTTCCTGTGGGAACCTGGTGGCCCAGGCTGCTGAGGGTGGGCGCCTCGCAGCCCAGGACAGAGCTGGCTGCAACTCCAATAATGGAGCCGGAAGACTGGACCCCAGTACCCTCTAAGGCACTAACCCCAACATCAGAGACGCTGGCTGCAGAGGCGTCCAAACAGGCAGGGCTCACATTGGTTTTGGTTGGGTTATTTTAAATCTTTTTTTCATAAGATGTTAATCATCAAAAGTAGAAAATAAAAATCTACATTTCATTAGAATAAGATGTTACCATGGATACCATCTCCCATGATACTCTTTCCCCATCCCTCCCCCAAAGCAGGGCCCTGCCCTGTTTAAAATAAATAACAACAACAAAAAACTTTAAGTGCCAAAGGCTGATGCATGAAATAATTACCATTTTCTTTTTCATAAAAGTTATATACAAAATGGACCCCAACCAGTGAGGCCTCCTCATCTCATCCCATATCCATCAAGATGTGAACTTGGTTCATGTGTCTGGTCAGCCAGTGTCTGCAAGCAGCACCCTCAGGCTCTGTTAAGGAGAGTGGTCCTACAGGACAGGGAACAGAGCTATATCAGGCTCCCCTGAGCAGGCAGAGGGAAAGCCCACGTCTCTGTGAGAAGAGAGCCAGGGTCCAGCCCAGGGTTCCCCATCCAACCAGCCCCTTCCTCTGGGAAGGACAGACCTGTCCTTACCACACCAGCCCCCTCCCTCCCTAGGCTCAGGTATCCATGGCAAGTCCTACCTGAGGGCCTTCCAGCTGTCCTTTTCCATGTGGTTCTCAGGACCTTCACTTTCAAAGGAGGCGATGAAGAGAGCTGAGGGGTGGAGAGCCCCTGAGAGCCAGCATCCCCACAGGTGGGTTTTACTAACTTAACCCTTCCCGGGCACAGCAAGGCCCAAGGTAAAGGGAACCATGAACTCTGGGTGAACCACATGCAGTGCCTGCTACAGAGGTCTCCTGGCTGCCTTCTAGGACCACCTCAGTAGGTCAAGGGGTCTGAGTGACTGTGAGGACAGTTGTGCAGCTGGGGAAATGGTTGTGCTTAAGCAGAGGTAGTCCTTACCTTCCTCACTGTAGATGGGTGCCGTGAGCAGGTAACTTTGAATCTTCTTGTCTTTCTCGAAGGGACACTCCACCTGTGTCCATGTCATAAACTCATGGATCTGCCTGGAGATTTCCCAAAATTTCTGAAGAGACAAAACACCAACAAGATGTTCTTGTCTCCTAAACTTAAAGCCAACTGTCAAGAACAGACAGCAGTTCCCATCTAAAGGCTTGGCTTTGCTGACCCTATTATAGCTTGTACAGCATCAGAGCCAGCAGATATCCCTGAGGCCGTTCCACCTTGCCCTCAGCATAGACCATCAGGCTGCAGCAGGGCCTATGCTTCTCTTACACAGGGACCCAGAAGACCCCACCTGTGACTCCAGTCTGAGGCAGTCTCTAGCCGTACATAGCACAGAAGAATGAGTAGGGGCCTCGGTAGGAATGCACAGTACCCACCCAACCCTTACCCAAGCGCACTGGTACCTCTGTTCTGCCCTCTGTCCTCAGCAAGTCACACTCAGCCCCCCAGGCAGGTTCTAAACTTCTGTCTGGAATTCTGCCCAAGTTCTTTCTTGCCTAAAGTCCTCCTCACCCCCAATTCCCTAGGTATGGCCTCTTTTCTGCCTCTTAAGTGGGGATTAGCACTGGTACCAGGTTCCTGGATAAATACAGGAACGAAGCTGTGTGATTTGCCATTCCCCTCCCCTCCCCACCCCGTGACAAAACTGGGTCGCACCTCACCCCTTATGGCTAAACAGCAGCCCTGACTCACCCAGTGCATCCAGCCCTTAAGGACCTTCGCGCAGGGCCACAAAGCCACTGTCTGCAGCTGTGGTAGTACAAGAAGGCTCTGTCTGCCCCACCCATGCTGGGACCTCAAGGGAATGGACTCACTTTGAAGTTAATGTGCCCACTGGGCAGGTGGTTGGTATGGATTTTGTGCAGGAAGTAGATATCCTTAACAAAGAGGTTGAACACAGGGATGACAATCTTTTCGCGGCTGCTGTTGGCTGTCTGGGACCTCTGTGTAGCCCCCTGCAGGGCTGTGCGGTAGTTGCAGAAGTTGCTGGATGGGTCCATGTGGTGCTGCAGGCACAGGGTGTACAGTGTGAGTCCTCCCGAACCTGCTCAGGATGGCCCTCTATAGAGGATGAGCCAACAAGTGGAGAAGGCATAGTCCTGGGGGCTCAGGGGTCAGCACAGGAAATCAGGGCCCGAAGCACCCACTGAGCCCCCAGGCATTGGAAAGTGACCCGGGGAGGCACTGAAGCCCTGTCTGCCTTGCTGCATTCACACGCCTTCCTTTAAAAACCTTCCTTTGCTCGTCTGTACAAACTGATACCACTCAGATGTGACCAGTGCCATAAGGCACAAATGTTTTCTAACAGCAAAACAAATCAGTCTGTGATCAAATACATGTAGGTAGAGTTTCAGGTGACTTGTCTACCAGCCTCTGGGGACCCAGGTGACCCCGGACCAGAAATTGCCCGAGAAAAAGACCAGACTGCTCAGAGGCCAGTGTCACTTTATTCATACTCTTACTAATCATTCCAGAAATCACTTTAGGTGCTGATTCTAATCATTCCAGAAATCACTTTAGGTGCTGATTCTACCCAAAGCAGTGATGTCAAGGACAGCTCGAGTCCCCACCACCACAGACTCCACTCCTTGCTGCCGAGGGCCCTCTGGCCAACAACCAGATGAGAGGGGGTTCAGACACCAGTACCTCCAAGACATCGAACTTGGCCGTCTTGACTTTGGACCACGTTTTCTTCAGCCGCGCCACAGGACTAAGGTTCATGCCGGCTGCAGAGACATTGGGGAGGGGTCAGTGTGTGGGGACGTGGGTAGCACAGGCAGCCCCACCTGAACCTGGACACTCACATATGATGGCCATCATGGAGTTGAAGTTCCCAATGTTGAAGCACTCTCGGGCCACATCGATGAAGAACTCCAGCATGCGGGTCCGGTGCTTCTTCTTCACCACCTGGAAACAGAGGGTCGGCCTCAGTAGGGACCCACCAAGGGACCACTGGGGCTGGGACCACTGGGCAGAGGGGCAGGAAGGGCCTCAGACTTAGCTTCCAGAGCTAGGAAACTTGAGGTTGCATTTTCAAGGCCTAGATACATCCCCTAACACTGCTTTACCGTTATCCACAGAAGAGATGGAGCCATCTGCCTAAAGGTTGAGGAAGATGGACCAATGAGGCCCAATAAAATTGGCACAAAGGGAGCATTCCAGGAATGGAGTCTTTATTATCTTGGAAAGAATCACTGTTTCCTGTGAGATTCTGGTAGAAGGGGCAGGCTAAGGCCCTGGCAATAGGTGCTCCATGCATTTGAGACTTTAGGGCAGGAGTCAGACCTTGCGGACATGGTAGGACCATCTCACCTGGGTCTGCTGTACAACAAACTTACCCGGCACACCTCAGTAGCCACCAGCATGCTCAAGCAGTTGAACCAGTTGTCATAGGCCTCTAGACTGTAGGTCTTAGTCATGTCCCCTCGGCACTGGAGGAACAAAGCAGGTCACAGGGAGCCCTAAGGACCCTGCTTGCATAAGCCAGTCACCATGGCTGGTGAGATACCCAAGGCCAAGGCTTGACCTTGGTCATGCCTGCCTGCTCCTTAGCTGCTCAGGGCAAGCTAAGCCATCAGTCCCGTTGGCTCCTCCCAGAATGAACCACTCTATATAGTCATCACATTCCCCTAGATGCAGGCCTAGGAAGGCCACGGCCACATCCACTCAGTTTCATGATCCAACACTCTTTTGAAGTGCATGCCATGTCTAAGCGAGGCTTGCACCCAACCTGAGTTGGGGTGCAGGCTTAGCTGGGTCAACTACCCACCATGGGTCCCAGAGTGCGTTCACTTACCCTGTGATTGTCCAAGGAATCCATGTGGCTGATGATCTGCATCAGGTCCTCAGGACGGATGCTGTTGACCCTTTCCTTTAGTGGGAGATGGCAAACAGAGAGGATGGGGCTTCAGGGGAGTATGGTAGAGGCTGTGGGGCAGAGGGAACCTACCCAAGACACAAATTCTTCATCTCCCCGCCCCAGGCCTGTTCTCCATCCTGGGGCTCCCACAGGCCAGTGCTGCCCTAGGTCCTTCCTCTCACACTGAGCTGTCACACTCTTGAGTGTGGGCTGAGTCCCACCCAGTACCATGCAGAGCATACAAGCGGCACTGACCAGTTCGATGTGGGTCAGCTGCTGGGCCAGCACCAGGGGGTCACAGCATACACCAAGGATGTCCTTCTGGGTGGCTGGTGGCTTGGCCTTGAGGACAGGCCCTTTGTCCACAACGGGTGACCGGAGCTTCTCCCGCAGCTCCTGGAGCTGACTGCGGGCAGCCAGGGACAGCAGCAGGTTTTGTATCATTTGGGCAATGGCTTTCTTCACTGTGCCATTCTCCTGTGAGGGTCAGGGTTCCATGAGGATGCTGGAGTAGACTGACAGCAAGGCCACTACACCACAGAGAGCCCCATCTCACTTCCAGAGACATTTCTGACTTTGAGCTCCCATCCCCTATCCAAGCCTGTATATGCCTCCAGCCCTTGAGTGTCTCCCTGAGGACTTCTGGGGAGGGTGGGCTTGACCAGTTGTCCTGCTAGAGGAGGGGAAGAAGGCAGGGCCAGGGCTTAGTCTGAAAAGCAACTTTCCCAGACATCAACACAGCTGCTGCTTTTGGCCTCCCACAGCAGAAGGGGCCCACAAGGCATGAAGAAGAGTTTCCCCTCAGGGAACAGGGGCTGATAAGTACAAAGAGCTCTCCATCCTGAGGACAGGATGCTCAGCTCCATTTGTATCTCCAAGGCCATGACCAAACCGGGAGTCAGGTAGAGTTCCTGTACCTTCCCACAGACCCCATCCAGGCATGAGAGTGCTAGGGGCCAGAACACGGTCACAGCAAGTGTTGTGGTGTCCCAGATCGATATAGGCCACTGCTGGCCAGCTGAGCTATTGTCTGTGGGTACTACCTTTTGGAGGTGACAGGGAAAGCCCACCTATAGAGATGTTCCTGGAGACACTGTCCCCCCACCACAAACACCCAAGCAGCCTGACCAAGGAGCAATGGCAGACCTCACCTCATCACACTGGGTGACTCGGTGTGCAATGGCCTTCAGCTCGGCCATGGCCTTTTCATCCTGGAAGTCATAGGGGAAGGCCTCTGTCCACTCCTTCAGTAGCTGCACAATCTTGGTAGAGAAGGACTTCAGCTTGGCCTGTGGCAGTGGGGAATGTATAAGGCTCCCCAAGCCACAGTGGATCTTGAGGTGCCAAATGGCACAAGTTCCCCTTTTCTTTAGGACCCATGCCCCACCCCCAGGGTCTGTGCCGGGCCTGTGGTCCTCTGTGTGCACCTCAGGTTCTGCCATGCCTGAACTACAATATGAGACTTTCATTTATTTCTTATTTCTCTTAAGTGGACATTTCCAATTAAATTCATTTTTCAAAACACCTACTCCATTACTACCGTGACAGAAAATTAGTTCCACTTGCTATAATTAAACATTACCGATAAAAAAGCACACAGTAGGCCAGGCGTGGTGGCGCACGCCTTTAATCCCAACACTCAGGAGGCAGAGGCAGGCAGATCTCTGTGAGTTCAAGGCCAGCCTGGTCTACATAGTGAGTTCCAGGACAGCTGGGGCTACAGGGAGACCCTGTCTCAAAAAGACCAAAAAA